AGAGAGAGAGAGAGAGAGAGAGAGAGAGAGAGAGAGAACCAGGGAGAGTGTTCTGTGTTAGAGAGAGAGCTCTGAGCTGGAGAGAGAAGTTCTTAAAGAGAGTTCGGTGACATAGCAAGATGGAGCACCGAACATTGCGAGCCTTTCATGGATGAAGAAGGGGGTAAGACCTCTTTTTTTTCATCCATAGTTAGGCCTTCTACACACAGCTGATGCTTCATCTAACACAGGCATCTGCACATGCCCTATTTGGTTAACTGCTTGTGTTGTTGTCATCTATGTTTTGGTCCTCTGAACCATGGTTTGAAGTGGTATGAACATACCCTTAAAGAGGCTTGGATGAAAAATATGTATACTGACATTCATGGATGTTTAGCATACAGGTATAATTTTAAAAAGAACATGTAATCCCTTTTTATTGGTTAGCCCTTGGTTCACTTGTTCTCTTTGGTTGACTTTACATGAGAAATAACTATTAAGAAGTCATCATCTATCCTTTCTGGTGTTGTTGGACAGGGGAAAAGATGCTTTGAGGAAGAAATTGGAGGTGCTTCGTACTTTAAGATGCTTATTGTCCAAGTCTACAGTACCTCCTGTGGAAACAGCAGTCCAAGCTGGAGTAGTTCCACTTCTTGTTGAATGCCTATCTTTTGGATCGCCAGATGAGCAGGTTAATCTATTTAATTTATGGTATATTCTGTTTTCTTTGTTCTCTTCCTGCTTGTTTTTATTTTTGATTGGTGAAGAGATTCGGCTTCGACAAAGCTCAGCATGGGCTGAAATTTATGTTCAGGAGGATCTCTCTCTGTTCTAAGGAAGAGGTGATTGCTCCAATTGTTTTGAGTTGTTATGTATACAATGTTTTAACTTTAAAAGTGTTATCTTTTAGCGTAAAAGTTAAAACTTTTCATGGTGGTCATTGCTGAAAACTCTCCGTGGTAAAGATTTTGTCATTGACAGTTCAGTCTTTCATTGGTTTTCTGAAAACTCTTTTATTCATACCTTCGTCTATGTCGTCAATACATATCAACATTGATATAGTAACTCTATTACTTTAAGGGCTCTTTTGGATGCTACTGAAAACATAGTTCGACACTGTTTTTGGCTGACATTCATCTATAGTTTGAAGTGGCATATCGGGTTACCATTTTATTGTCCTGAATTGGTACTCATAAAATGCTGCCACTTTGTGCGGTAGATGAAAACTGAAAACACCAGTTCTCATCCAACTTAGAAATTGAGAATGATAGGTGGACCTACTACATACTGTCTGAGACACATGTTAATTATCATACAAGGAACTTGAGAAATTTAAAGGGCCTAATTTTGTGTTTCCTTTGAACTTGAGAAACATTATTTTGTTAATTATCATGCAAGGAACAAGCTTCAAGTCTGTTATGTTTTATGGGATTAAGACGCTTACATTTTAAACTTGTACTTAGCCTTGAATATTTAGTTTTATTTTGATATTGGATATGGATGTGGATAGTGTTATGATTTTTTTTTTGTGAATGTGAATATTAGCATTTGATAGGAAATTTTTTTATTCATGAAATATTGAGGGTAATTATTGCATTTTTGCATATATTAATATGTAAATTGATTATTGTATTGTATATTTCAAACATCTTTGCTTTTCTCCTCCCTTGTGAAAGCTACATGTGCTTGGAAGCTTCTCTATATGAGATTGCTTTCGATCTTTATTGGCACTACTATTACCTTGATTGCTTAAACAAAATATATTTTCTATAGTTTATTTTCAATTTGAGGTGTCCCTATGTATTTGATTGCACATTTCCCCAATTGAGTTCCCGATGAATTGGTTTCTGTGAAGTATTTATTCATATGATGTTGTTTTCTTATGTAGTTGCTTGAGGCAGCATGGTGCCTTACAAATATTGCAGCTGGCGAGGCAGAACAAACAAAAGCTTTATTACCTGCACTACCTCTACTCGTTGCTCATCTTGGAGGTAAATTGAATTTACCCTTTTTTAATTGTTGAGCATAGCATTATGAGTATTTTTAGATAAAGTTGTTCTAGATTTTAATTATTCATTTCTTTTATTCATAAAACTTAAAGTTTGAGTACTTGATTTTGTTAGTTGATATAATCATCTTTTTTGACGATTATAAAGTTATGTATGCATATACCAAAACCACTCTTATTTCTTATTCTACGCCATACAATTAAATTTGTTGGTTTCTTGCTTACCGAAATGGCAAAACAGTTCTTTTCCTCAAAAATGTTAGACCTAAAGACTGATATGTATAGACATTCATTAAAAGTAATATGCATATCATAGAAATCAGTGCACGTGCCAAGTGGTGTATGTACAGACGATTAGAAATATTAGAATAGCCAACAAAGATAGCATGACTTTTGATGGACTAAAACAAGAGAGAGAGAGAGAGAGAGAGAGAGAGAGAGAGAGAGAGAGAGAGAGAGAGAGTAGTAGTAGTACGTAACTAACTAACTACTATATACTACTACGTAGTAGTAGTAGTAGTAGTACGTACTACTAACTAACGTAACTAACTAACTAACTAACTAACTACT